CAAGAGGAAAAGAACTAGCGGGCAGTAACTCCTGCCCTCCCAGCCAGCCACCCACTCAGTGAAACGGGAAAACTGCTGGATGCAGTTTCTCTGCTAATTGGAAAATCCCCCAGCCAAGAGTCCAGAGAAAGCAGAGACAAGTATGCTGATTATTAGGGGAGGGGAAAAAAGGGAGCGCCATGTGGGTGATGAGCTTTGAGATAGCTGGATGTAAGCAGCAGCATGGAGTCTGATTAAGCATGTTTCCCCTGTCTCAGAAACCACCACTCAGCAGGGAATTTCATCTGCTTCATCCCCAGCCACGTCGCTGAATCAGAGGCAGCACAGAACATGTCTAGTGTAGTAAACTCCCTGCCGTGTGGCTCCAGGACCGTGGCTAGGAACGCGCTGTGCTAGACCCTGGGGTTTGGTGGGAGGCAGCCCCAGACCAGTCCCTTGGTGCCATCTCAGAATTCTGGGGCACCTACCAGGAGCCTTGGGCTTTAGGGGGGCTTGTTCTCTAATTAATCTAAGAAACCTCACACTGACCCTCAAATCCTCATGCCAAAACTCAGGGACAAAGAAAGCCAGTGGTCCCAGGAGAGCCGGCACTGTGGCATGGGGCCAGTTTTGTGGTTTTAAGAAAGAAGAAGAGGAAAGACTATATAACCCAGTATCATCTGTACCCCTGAAGACGTTGCTTGTCTGCATGGACATGGCATTGAGGTCCTGGACTGCGGGGTGAGGTGTCCTGTCATCCTGGAGTCTTCTCTACGTGCCAGAAATGAGGGATTGAGATGACACTAGTGCCAGGGACATGCCCTTCCATTTTCTGAGCACTTACTATGCTCCAGGTCAGATGCTCTGCCTGGCACAGCACATAACCCTCAACATACCTCAGTAAGTTCAGTATTATTATCTTCCTTTTCAGAGGCATAACCTAAAACCAAGTGAGTCGCCCAAGTTCACACCAGCAGAAGGGACAGAGCTGGGGTTTGAACCCAAGTCTGACCCCAAAGTCCATACTTTTTTTTCCCACTAACCACAAGGTGGAAAGGGCTTGGGGGGGCGCCCTCCCCTGCAGGTGGGTAACCCCTGCAGCTGGGTAAACACTGGCATCCGGGGTTTATTCCAAAACTGGCCAGAAAGAATAGGAGCGGGGTTTTATGGCAATCACTCCAGTCTTTGCCAATTCCTAGGTATCAGAAGCAAACACACCCTCCCCCACATTCCTGTGCTCCCCAGCTTTGTGGAAAGGAGGGAGAGATGGCAGGGAGCCCAGAGGGCAGGATTAGGGTCATGCATTCGAGCAATTCAGAGACTTTCAGAGCAGGAAGGGCCCTCAGGAATAATCCAAGCCAACTCCTTCCTTTCACAGAGGGGGAAACTGAGGCCCAGAGAGGGCAAGGGACTTGTTCAAGGTCACACAGGGCATGAGGCATGAAATGGGAGCTGAGGCAGCCTCCTGGCTCCCAGCCTGGGGTCCCCTCCCCCACCCCAGCCCGCTCAATAAAGCCATGACATGGGAACCCCTCATATCGGATACAATGAACAGTTAGATTTCATTACGACATTGCTCAAGAAGAGAACCAGGGTGAGATGGGGAGGGGTTTACCTAAGCACTGCCTCCCTGCTCTGCTCAGGCATCAGACATCTCTGTGCAGCAGCTCAGCTGGGCTTGGCTGCATCGGGTGGGAGGATCGGGGTCACCTGCATAGCAGATCCTTATGTAGCCGGGAGAGCTCCCTATTTTCCTGCCCCCCCACCCCGAACAAGGCCTGCCTCTGTCCCTGAGACAAGGAAGGATGTGGGGGGGAGGTCTCTCATTCTGCTGAAGGGCAACATGGGAGCCACGGAGTCGCTTTGCGGCAGCACCATCCCACCTACCTTGGACCCGCCTGCTAGGTTCCTGGGAACCTGCCCTCATGAGAGTGTCTACCTTGAATCCAAAGAGTGGGTGTCCCCAAACCCACTCACTGCTCCCGGCCTGGGGACCCCAGAAGACCCCCATCCCCAGGGAGCTGTTTCATCATGGTAGGGGTGTTCACTTCTGGGGACACACAGACTGGGTTCAAACCTCTGCTTCCCCACCAGCTAGTCCTGTGACCTCACTTCCCTGAGTCTCAGCTTCCCACTATAGAGCCGGCTTGTGTTCCTGCCTCCCAAGGCGGCTGTGGGGATTGACTGTCAAGGCTGTCCCAGGCACAGAGGGGCGGAGACGCTGCTTGGGGGATTGTCTCTCGTCGTACTGCCTCTCTGCGTGCGTCAGGTTTTAAAGCATTCCCAACCATGACGATCACTCACAGCCCTTGGTGAGAACACAAGGAAGGAATTATCAGCCCCTGTACCCAGATTGGATGACCCACGCCCCAAGAGGTGAAGTGGCTCGCCCAAGCTCCCGTAGGATTTAGAGGCAGAACATGAGGAGAACCTATGGTTCTGGGGTCCCACCAGCCTGCTCCACCCAGTCCAGAGGAGCCCAGTGGGAAGAGCTTGAAATTCGGAGTCAGCCCAGCTGGGCCCGGGCTGGGCCATGAACTCAGCACACAACGTAAGACGGTGACTTTGGGTGACGTGAGCTTTCAACTTTCTGACTGATGATTTCGGTGCCATTGACCAGCTGTGTGACCCTGGACAAGCGACTTCACCTCTCTGAGCCTCAGCTTCCTCATCTGTGAAATGGGGATTGTCAGGAGGACGAAAAGAGCTATAACCTCCAGGAGGCCTGGTGCAGAGCTTAGCAGACGGTAAGTGCCCAATAAATGGAAATGTAGTCATGGTGGCAGCCAGTGCTAGTAATCAATATTGTTGTTGTGTCATTATTATTAGGAGAGGGAGAGGACAGAACGGAATCGCCCTGAGAAACCTCTGGCCCATGTGGCTGTCCGAAGAAGAGACCCGGAAAGGAGACACCAGGGACTCGTCTCACCTTCAAGTGGCCAGGATGGACATGGGGTGAGACCCGTCACACCCCTGAAGATCCCAAAGTTCCACTAACTGAGGAGACCCAACCAGGAGGACTGCTGGCATACTCCCAGGGGACCTCAGCCATTGGGGGACAGAAGAGAGGTGGTAGCCCCCAGTTAAGCCTCAGTAGGCCTTGATTCAGGGGCCAAAAGCTGGGACGGCAGCCTCACCTCAGACACTTCTGTCTGAGATGTCCCAGGATCCTCTCGGGGAAAAGCTACCATGAAGACGGGCCATCCTGGTGTGGAGCACACACTGTTAGGAGCCAGGAGAGGGGGCATGACTCGCTGCCATCTCATAGCTGTGTGGCCTCAAGCAGGTCACCTCACCCCTCTGAGCCTCTGTCCCTCAATTATAAGGACCATCATTGTGGGGATCACAATTCCTGCCCTGCCCGGCTCCCCAGGCTGGTGTGAGACCCCTCAGGACAACAGACGTGCACTTGCTCTGTAAACCATCAGTCACTTTAGGCCGAGGCACTGCCCTTGTCAATCACCAAGGGACCCTTCATAGACAGGCAAGGCAAGGGGTAGCGTAGCAGAGGCCGCTCTGGAAGGTGATAACGGGAAGAAGTAACGAGACCCAGAACCAGGCCCCTCCTACTCCGTTCTGCCATGCCCACCCACACCTCCTGCCTCCCTTGCCCCGCTGAGCTCCATGGAAGCCCCTGAGGGGTTGAAACCCTGGGCCAGTTGCTTTGAAGCCTCTTTCTGTCCCTCACCACAGACTTCTCTGGAAGCCATTTGTCCTGGACCTGCAGTGAGGGGAGGGGATGGGGGGGGGTTACATGGGGCAGAGAGTGATCTGCCATGGAGCTGAAGCAGGTGAAGGGAAAGCAGCTTGAATGGTGACATTTGTGCCCCCAGGACGCCAGGAGGCCAGCCACTGGGACACACAGTCATCTAAGCATCCCCCTTACAGCCTCAGCCTCGCCACACACAGCTGGACCCCCGCCTCGTCATCTTACAGCAGAGTCACGTGAGGGGCTAAGGGCTCAGCAAGCCTCCAGCACCAGACTTACCTGGCTTCAAATCTCAGCTCCCCTTTCCAAACTGTGCAATCTTGATGAAGTTACTTAACCTCTCTGTGCCTGTTTCCTCAGCTATAAACAAGAATGAGAACCCTGACCTCATAGGGGTGCTAGGAGGATTAAATGAGTTAATACGTATAACGTGCTCTGTTAGCAAAGTGCCTGGCACAAAGTAAGCATCCGGCAAGCATGCCATTCGCCAGACATCAGCCACACAAATGAAAGAGGCCGCCTCCAAAAGCAGTGAGTGTGCCATCACCGGGGAGACTCAAGCTGTGGCTAAACAGCCACCCGTTTCATGGCCAGAATGGCCTGGGTGACTTTTAAAAGGCTTCCAACTGTGAGCTCATAAAATCACACCTGTGAAACTGCGTATGTTGCATTCTCCTTCCTAACACTGCCAGAATAGGATGAGATGCAAGAGGGCTCCTGGGGGTGGGGGTGGGG